GGGGGAAGCATGTGCATCTCACAAAACCCGGGGCCAGAATTTGCCTCCCTGCTCCTGTACGAGTGAGTTGGGAGCAACATGTGCTCTTAACTGCTGAACTGTCTTTCCAGCACTGGAAGTTAAAAAAACAAAAATCAAACCAAACCAGGGAGAAAGGCTGGAGAGATGGCTCAGCAGTTAAGAACACTAACTACTCTCCCAGAGGTCCTGAGTTCGATTCCCAGCAACCACATGGTGTCTCACAACCATCTGCAATGGGATCTGATGCCCTTTCCTGTCGTGTACACATACATGCAGACGGAGCACTCATATACATAAAATACATAAATACATAAATAAATAAATAAATCTTTTAAAAATGGAGGGAATCCATTTCAATACTAAAGACTCAGAAGAGAGAAGCAAAGACAGGAGTGGATGAAGGAGATCATCACTGAATGAATCACAAAATACTCCCTAAGGGTGAAGAACATGCACCCCATCCCCAGCCCCTAGCTGAGGCCCGAACCCAGGGCCCACTGAGCTAAATCCCCAACCCTGCATTTTCCCTTCTCAATTATCATTATCATTATTATTATTATTATTATTGGTTCTTTTGAGACAGGGTTTCTCTGTGTAGCTTTGGTGCCTGTCCTGGAATTCACTCTGTAGACCAGGCTGGGCTCGAACTCACAGAGATTCACCTGCCTCTGCCTCCCGAGTGCTGGAATTAAAGACATGTGCCACCACTGTTCAATCATTTTTTTAATTGATTGATTGATTGATTGTGTGTGTGTGTGTGTGTGTGTGGGTGCACGCATGCGCGTGTGTACATGCATGCGTATGTGAACATGCATGCCACAATGCATGGTAGAGGTCAGAGGATAACAGGGTAACTTTGGGGACTTGGTTCTTACCTTCTTCCTTGTTGAGACAGAGTCTCCCCTATTTCTGCTGCTTTGCCTCCTACCCCAGGTAAGCTGGCCTACAAGCTTCCAGGCAATTCTCTGGTCTCAGCCTTCCATTTCATGGTTGGAGTGCCTGGATTACAGATGTGTGTTGCCACATCTGGTCTTTTGCCTGGGTTTCAGGGATCAAACTTAGGTCATCAGGCCTGTGTGGCTGGTGCCTTTACCTGCTGGGCAATCTCCCTAGCCAAAGAAGGAACATTTCTCGGCACAAAGCTCTAACAACTCCTCTTGATAATGGGAACTGTTTTAAAACAAGGCATGACATCATAAACTTTGGGAAAACTGAAGATCTAGAGAATGTCTTTAAAAAAACACTCTATAGTTCAAGGCCAGCCTGGTCTACAGAGTGAGATCCAGGATAGGCACCAAAACTACAGAGAAACCCTGTCTTGAAACCCACCCCCCCCAAAAAAAAACCCACTTTATTTCTAAGAGATTAATAGAGAATGCACACTTCTTAATAAAGCTTGCTCCAGAGTATGCAAGAAAAAGGAACATAAAGACCCAGGGAAGAAGCCCGTGATACAAAAGAGAAGGCGGACGGAGGGTACCTGGGTAAATCAGAGCAGAGAAGGCCAGAGTAGGGACTACTTGAGGACGCTGAGATTGACAGAGTTCCTGATGTGACCAGATGTGTTATGAAGAGATGCTGACTACTGATGGAGAGGTTGGGTTGAATTATTGTTAAATATAGAGAGAGAACCCGAAAGGAAAAAAGCAAACACAAACAGAAAACATACTGTTACTACAGCCAAAGGAAGTAAAGGTTTTGTAAGAGAGGAATCACGGGGCTATTGCATGACTCCAGTGTGAACAATATTTACACGGGGTTAAACCAACACCGACTATGGACACAGCCAAAGCATGACTGTATTGGGAGGGAGGAGAAAGTGAGCCTTGCAGGTATCAAATCATAATAATTTACCATAGTAATGGTACAAAAGAAAGGATGATCGGGACGGAGGAGATGGCTCACTGGCTGCTCTTCCAGAGGACCCAGGGTAGGTTCCCAGCACCCATCTGGCTGACAACCACCTGTAACTCCAGTTCCAGGGGATCCGGCACCCTTCTCTGGCCTCCGTGGGCACTGAGTGCACATGGTACACAGACATACATGTGGGCAAAACACCCAGACACATAAATAACTAATAATAAAAAGAAAAAGAGAAGATGGGCAATGTGGCAGAGGACTTATGTAGCACACACAAAGCTCTGGGTTCAGCAAGGAAAGAAGAAAAGAGAAAAAAAAGCCTAGTTTGTGGTAGTTAGATGTGAATAAAATAATGTATATAACATCTAAAAATCAATAACTGGCCATATAAGCACATCACTTAGAAATACAGAGAAAATGGGTCACGGTGGCCATGGCTGTAATCATGGTGCTTTGGAAGTAGAGGCAGAAGGATCATGAGTTCATGTAGCCTGAGCTACATGAGTCCCTGTCTCAAAAACAAACAAAAACAGAGGCAAAACCTGGGGAAATGGCTCAGAGGTCATGAGTTCCAGACCAGCCAGTGCTACACAATGAGATTTTATTTTATTTTTTAGGATTCAGCAATGAATTTTAGTTATTTTGGCTTCCTGAATCCCCTGAAAGTACTTCGGTGCTCTCGGGGCCCAGAGTGTATAAAATGGCTCTCCCAAAGCATGCACCACTAAGCACTGGATTTAATACTTAAAACTAGGTTGTACTGACTTCTGTCTAATTATACATGTGCACAGGGTGCCTTAATATGGTTCTACCAGTGACACAGATATGAAGTATAATGAGAACTTACATTAAAATCAAATAATCACAGGCTGTGATCTAGCACAGAGAGGTAGAGCCTGGGCTCTAAACATAGCACAGAAAATAAAATTAGTCATATGGTCAGGTTGATGGCGACTATAATTCCAGCCCTTGGGAAGTGTAAGATCAAGATGGCCTTGACTCACAGAGATCCACTTGTCTCTGCTGCCATTGTTCCCATAGCCTGATAGTCATTCCTGATGGTACAGCTGGAGGAAAGATGCATTCTCCTCTCTGGAATGTTCTAAATCAGTGGACAAGTCTCCTCACAAACAGATGGTTCCTTTTGCAGTCTAAAATGATTTAGCCTATTCACCTACTTCTTTTTTTAAAAAATCTAGATCAGCAGTTCTCAATATGTGGGTCATGACCCCTTCGGCAAACCTCTATCTCCAAAAATATTTACATTATGATCCATAACGGTAGCAAAATTATAGTTATAAAGTAGCTACAAAAATAATTTGATGGTTGGGGGTCGGCACAACATGAAGAACTGTATTTTCAGCGTTAGGAAGGTTGGGAAGCACTGCTCTAGACCCCTGCAGCTTCTTGATTACGGGTGTAGTTTTGTTTTGGAGGGTTAGACTTTGTAACTGGAGTTGTCAGGGTCAGAGGCAGGGCCTTGGCAGCCCTAACAAGGTAAGCTGGGCTACCATCCTCAATAGGCCAGCCGAATGGACCAGTGAGAGAGATAAGTAGAGAAAGGAGATCTATTCAATCTGGATGCATTGGGAAGAGGAACCAAGAGGTCCAATGACCCACTGCCATACCTCATGTCCCCTGCTCCCAACTAGTCCATCTCCAGGTCTTAACATGCAGTTTAGGTTTAAATAGAAGATATGACGCAGGGAAGTGGTGGTGTGCATACCACTACCCCAGCACTAGGGAGGCAAAGGCAGGAGGATCTCTGTGAGTTCAAGGCCAACCTCAACAACAAAGCAAGTTTCAGGACAGCTAGGGCTGTTATTACAAATAAACCCTGTCTCAAAAAACAAAAACAAAAACAAAAACAACCCCCCCCCCAAAAAAAAAAACAAGAAAAGGTATGAAGTATGCATAAATAGGCAACCTCCCTCCCCCGCCAAGGTGTGGTTCCACCTACCACGACTTACCTTTATCTCAGCTCATGTCTGTCCTCCAGGGGGTCTGACAAGTGGAAAATCTCTTCCCTGGAGTCAAGTTCCTCTTCTTGCTGGTACCAGGAGATGCCTGGGGAAATTCCAATTCCTTGGCGGACCTTGTTTCAAAGTGCTGACAGCCGATGGGAGGGAAGCGGAATCTCTTTAGAATATCGTCAGCCTGGTGCCAGGCTGCACTCCGGTTTCCGTACAGGGGTCCTTCGTCACCTTAGGTTCCAGATACCATGCCCTCTGTGGGCACCGAATTGCCATAGAACTAGGCACCATCAACAGCTGCATTATAATTTTGAAGATTTAGGGTCAGTGTATACAGTTGCATAACCAACACCCCAAACAAGACATGGGGTACCCTAAAAGTTCCCTCCGTGACCTTTAGCTCCCACACGCTACATTTTTCAGTGGGGTGGCTGCACACACAGCGCGTGTGATGTTCGTCTTGACAGCCAGCTTGACCAGGTGGAGAGTACCTATGGGGTTAGGAAAGCCCACTGGGAGTGGGTCTGTGATGGCATTTCCCGGGCCACTCACAAAGGGGAAGATCCACGCAGAATCTGGACAGTGGGGCTGGGAGTTCAGGTGAGATAACAATGGGGAGGAGGAGGGGACCAGCTGGAGCAGGCCTTCCCTGTTTTCTGGCCGCCATGTCGTCCCCACATATACGGACTGAAATGTATGGAAGTCATGAGCCAAACTGAATCTTGTCCCCTTTAAACTATTTTCACACGCTATTCTTTTTTCTCTCCCCCTCCCTCCACGTGTGCGTGCGTGTGTGTGTGTGTGTGTGTGTGTGTGTGTGTGTGTGTGTGTGTGTATGTGCAGGTGTGTGTGTGCAGGTGTGCCCAGACCATAAGACACATAGGGCTGTCAGAGGACAACTTGGTAGTTGGTTTTTTCCTCTTGCCACGTGGGTCCCAGGGATGGAACTCAGGCCGTTAAGCTCAGCAGGTAGGGACTATCTCACCAGTCCCATGATACTATTTAATTGGAATTTCTCTCATGATACACTGACTGAGCTTTGTGTTTGCGTATGGGACATGTGTATGTGTAGGAGCAGGGGTGAGCGTGGGTGAGGGGGTGGGTGAAAGTGGGAGGATGTTTGTGTGTGTGGGTGTGTGGGGGGGAGTATGGAAGTGGGGGTGTGTGGTGGTGGGGGAGAGTATGGAAGTGGGGGTGGGTGTTTGGGTGTTGGGGGTGTGGGGGGGAGAGTATGGAAGTGAGGGTGTTTGTGGGTATGTGTGGGGGGAGAGTATGGAAGTGGGGGTGTGGGGGGGTGTAGGGGAGTATGGAAGTGGGGTGGGTGTTTCGGTGGGTGTTTGTGTTTCAGTGGGGGTGACTTCAGTTTCTTCACAGGCACAGAATTGTTCTTGGATCGTGCATTCATGCCCCTCCCAGGTGTATCTGATAGGAGTGAGTTCACTTTATTCACCACACTTGGCTATTGTTATTTGTGTGTATGTCTCTGTGGAAAAGCGTGTTTTTTGTCACGTGTGGCTCATCCTTGTGATTGGACACTTCACTCATGTGACTCCTCTTACCCCTCAGAGTATAAATTGTAATAGTTGGCTATTGCATGGGACTTTATTCTGCCTCATTTATCCCCTCCATGCTCCCAGGTCCCACTGACAACTAGAGCGGAAGTGAACAGCCTAGAAGCTTAGGAGACATCCGGGTCTTTGTCCCTGCCCCTCCCCCACCTCCTGCTAGGGATGCACTAGGATTCCAGACCTGCTGGGGCCCACCTTTACATGTTCCAGGAATTCTAACTCCAGGCTATCTCCAAGTCATCACTAAGCAATTTGAAAAATGGCAATTAGCCTGCGGTGGTGGTGCACGCCTTTAATCCCAGCACTCACAGGCAGAACTCACAGGCGGATCTCTGTGAGTTCGAGGCCAGCCTGGTCTACAGAGTGAGTTCCAGGAAAGGTGCAAAGCTACACAGAGAAACCCTGTCTCGAAAAACAAAAACAAGAACAAAAAAGGGCAATTAATATGATTTTACACCCCCATGGGGAGATGGTTGTTGCTAGGATTTGAACCCAGGGCCTTACATATGCTGAAGACAACCACTAAGTGAGCCGCACCACAAATCCTAACATTTTATTTTAATGACTGCATAGTATTTCTGCAAATGTTAACTTATTTAGGAAAAAAAAAATTGAGGCAAAAATAAAAAAAAATTACCAGACCTTTTCTTGCTGTTACTTGGTGGAATTAATTTCCAATTCCATGATACCATTGTAGCTTTGTGTGGTTAGCTTGTTGTTTTGTGGCTTGCTTGGTTTTGACTGGGAGGGGTTTGGTGTCTTCCTGCCTCTTTTTTCTGTTGTTATTCTGTGCTCTGTACATGTTGGGTTACCATTCTCCAACACACTGTCATGGAATAATTGTTTTAATTTTTGGTTTCTGGAGACAAAGTTTCTCTGTGTAACAGCCCTGGCTGTCCTGCAACTCACTTTGTACCAGGCTGGCCTTGAACTCACAGAGCTCCATCTGCCTCTGCCTCCCGAGTGCTGGGATTAAAGGTGTGCGGGACCACGGACCGGCATCTATTGTCTCCCTAGCTTTGCTACAACCTCTCTAGATCTCTTCTACTTCCCTTTCAGATCTCATATCCTGATTTCCGGAGCCTCCTGGGTAGCATTTCCACACGCATGTCAATTTTCTTGCAACTCAAAACTCCCACGTCAGAAACTGAATCCCTATTCCCTTTCCAATTTTTTTTTTTTTTTTTTTTTTTTTTTTGAGACAGAGTTTCTCTGTGTAGCTTTGCGCCTTTTCTTGGAACTCACTTGGTAGCCCAGGCTGGCCTCGAACTCACAGAGATCCGCCTGCCTCTGCCTCCCAAGTGCTGGGATTAAAGGCGTGCACCACCACCGCCCGGCCAATTTTTTTTTTTTCCAGACACCAATTTCAACTGGGGTGAGCGCCGTCTTTGCCGTCAGTTACAAAAGCCCATCATGTCCCACTTCTCTGCAACGGGGTGCTATTGACTCTGCTCCCAAACTCCTCTCCGAGGCCCTTCTCTCCAATTCCACACTACTCCTTTTTTGTAAGAAACAGCGAGGAAAAAAAAAAAAAAAAAAAACTATGGGTTTTTCAGGCAGGTAGTCTCAGCCTCTCGCCTCCTACCCTCCACTCTCCGCTCCTTCATCCCCAGTGACATCCGCCCGGATTCTGAACACTGAGATGCTGTGCTTTCCTGGTCTGCTCTCTCCTCCTCCACGACCTGGTCTTTAGTCTGTTTTGACTTATGAGCTTGGCTCCCTTTTAAACCTGCGCCTGCGCTATGCAAATATGTACGAATGCATCCTGCCTACTACCTGCACTGCGAAGCTACCTAGAAGGCAGCTGTGGATCAGAGCCCACGAGTTCTCTGGCTTTCACCCCTGCAGAGAAGGAGCCCAGCGCCCTAGGTGGGACACCTTTGCGAAGCTCTCCAACAGATCCAGATCGCAGAGCGCGCGCGCACCCGTGGAGCCGGGCAGGCGGGACGGCGCTTCCTGATTGTAGTGGGCGCGGCTGCTGATTGGCTGCGCCGGGTCAGGCGCTGTGGGCCGAGTGAACGCGAGTAACCCCGGGGGCGGTGCTGACCTAGAGTAACCCCGGGAGGGCGAGCCTCACCCTCGCTGGGCGTCGCCGCCCCTGACCCGCCCGCCCGGGGCGGGAGGAGGCAAGGCTAGAGGTGAATGGTCCAACGCCCACCCCAGATGTGCGGGCGGGGCCTCTGCACAGAGCGGCTTCCCACTGCTTCAGGCCGTCAGCTGCAATGTGGAGTTTAAAGAGGCTGTCGATGCGATAGGAGGTGCGGCGGTCACTGGGAGGGTGGTTTATGGGGTTAATGAATGGCTGTACTGGCCATGTGCTCTACTGACCCCAATGAGGTGGCTCCTCCCCGCACTGTCCTAATCCTGGTGGAAAAGGCATGGCAGGAAGCTCGGGCTGGCAGAGACTGAAGTCACTCAAGGTGCAGCATCTCTCACCATGTACTCCAGGGGAAAAGGTCCGGAGGGAGGCGGGTCGGTGGGGAGGACAGGCTTTTGTGAAAGGCTGAGGAGGGAAGAGACAAATGAACACGCATGAAGAATGAAGGGTGTCATGCAAACATGGGCAGTGGACACTTAAAATGTTTGCCCCGCTGTGGAAGTGTAGTAAGTGAGCAGCTCCACTCCGAGTCGTGTGCCCAAATCAGCTGCAAACATCTGCAGGGTTCTTAAGAATTTGTACACACGTGTCTACAGCAGAACCATTCACACTTACCGAAAGATGGAGGCAACTGGGATAGTCAGAGTCGGTGGGGCAGCCTAAAACGTTCTGGAGCTAGAGTTAATGCCATGTAAATGAGTGGTAACTATGTGTGTGTGTGTGTGTGTGTGTGTGTGTGTGCGCGCGCGCGTGCGCGCGCGCCCTGGAAGGGGGGGCGTACACACCTGTTGTGTGGTCTGTGTTCATGTGCATATGCGTGTGTAGGCGGGCTTGTGCCTTCAGGCATGTATGGGGGCCAGATGTTGGCATCCAGATGTCTCCATTGCTTCTCCACCTTATGCTTTTGAGACAAGGTCTTTCACTGAACCTGTAACTCCTTTTCACATAGACTGGCCGGCCGAGAAGCCGCGCATTCCCTCTCCCCAAGATCTCCCTGTCTCTAGCTGCCGGCACTGGGGTCACAGACACAGAAGGCTACCCCAGTGGACCCCAGTGGACTTTTACATGGGTTCAGGAAATCTAAACTCGGGCCTTCTATTTTACCCATTGAACCATCTCCCCAGCCCATGAATGGTTCTTTTTATGAAGTACTGTTGATTCGTCTTCAAATTATATGTATGTGTGTGTGTGTGTTTGTGCATTTTTATGCACACACATATATGAATTAAAGGGGATCTTTTTTTGGTCTGGATTCTCCAAAAAGGACTAAGAATAGAGCCATAAGCAAGCTTGGGCCATCTGTGGCCTTCTCCACTCACTCCCCTCGTTTTCTCAAGTCACCTGACATGGTCGGGACAGAGGTTCACTTTGGTCTCTCTGAGAAGGGTCTCCTTTGGACTCAGCTCACTGAACCACACAGTACATACACCCTCTGTGGCTGGAGTGTAGCAGGTTGGGCAGGACAGCGGGGAAGGGCAGAGCTGGATCATCAAAAGGGGAGTGTTCTGCTTCCAGGAACCTCAGGATAGAGTCCTAGCAGCCTGTAATTAGGGCTTGTGGCATTTGCCCTAAGGTCAACGCTCAAGAATCAGTACTTTGTCTTAACATAGAAAGTTAACTATAGGTCACAGAATAGCACTTCCCTGCCCTGTGACATTTCCTACAGTTGGTGGCAGAGTTAGAACTTAAAAAGAAGATGAGAGATCTTTCCATGATTTTATCCAGTATTGTCTGCGTTAGGTGCAGGGAGACATTTCTAATACAGGAAGTAGTCTTTTCTAACTTTTTGTTTTGATTTTCAAGACAGGGTTTCTCTAGTGTAACCACCCTGGCTGTCCTGGAACTCACTCTGTAGACCAGGCTGGCCTTAAACTCACAGAGAGTTCCTCTGCCTTCCAAGAGCTGGGATTAAAGGTGCGCTCTAACACTGCTCGGCTTCAGGAAAGTAGTCTTGAAGGTCTCACAACTAGACTGGAGAGCAGAGCATGGTTAGAAAAGTTCCTGTGGAGGAGAAAAGGGGTTCAAACTGCCATGTGGTTGAATGTTAAGGAGATGAGTTGCATTCATTCCTGAAAAACAAAAGTTTGTGCTGGGTGCTTGGACATGATTTTAGCCCCCTGCCAACCAGCTGGGGAGGAGGGCTGTACCACCAGGCTCAGTATAATAACTGGGTATCACCAGCAGGCGCTTAGGCATAAGAGAAATCCATGCATGCCTGCACTGTCCTCTCTTCCATACCCAAAATAGCCAGGAGGTAGGGGGACAGTGGTCTGTAGGCCACTAATATTCACATTCTTCTCTCCAGGGGAACTCGGACACGTGGAGCAGATTTAGCCTTTTCTAGCATGTTACACAGAGACAGTGTGCCATCGAGACCACAGCACGATGTCTTTCTTTTTTTTTTTTTTTGGTTTTTCGAGACAGGGTTTCTCTGTGTAGCTTTGCGCCTTTCCTGGAGCTCACTTGGTAGCCCAGGCTGGCCTCGAACTCACAGAGATCCGCCTGCCTCTGCCTCCCGAGTGCTGGGATTAAAGGCGTGCGCCACCAATGCCCGGCTACGATGTCTTTCTATAGGAAAGTTTTCAGCATTACCATGTCCTCCAGTGTGTGGACCTAGAACTTGGCTTCCTCACTCTTCAGAAAGTTGATTAGTGCTTGCACGGTGACCCAAACCCTTTTTAACTGGTCTAGCACATGCTATTTTGATTCTACAACTATTGTACTCTGGTGTGGCAAGACTACAGTTTATGTAGCAGCTGCCTTTTGTCATTTGAGGTTTGAATCTAGAGACTGTACGGACTGTGCAATTAAATGGAATACTGACTATTGCCCTTTATCAGCTAGTTTAACAGTGCTTTTTTTCTTTTCTTTTTGAAATTATAATATTATTACATCATTTCTCCCTTCCTGTTCCTCCTTCCAAACCTTCCCATATACCCCTCCTTGCTCTCTTTCAAATTGGTGGTCTTTTCCCCCTTTGATTAATTCCCATACATATATGTATATACATGTATATTCCTAAACATGTCCTGCTTAGTATAATGTTACTTGCATGTTTATTTTCAGGGCCGGCCATTTGGTATTGGATAACCAATTAGTGTGTTCTTCCCCGGGGTGGGGCGGGGTTGGGGGAGGGACGACTGTTTCTCCTGCTCTCAGCATTTCTTGTTGTCTGTTAAGTTCTCTGTGTAGGGAGGGCTGAGGCCTCACTGGCTTCCCCCATCCATGTTAGCGTGTGTTGTCCTTGGCCAGCTCACATTTAGGCAGCCATGCTGGTGAGACTTTATGAATGTAGCTTCTGACATAATCAGTGCTTCTTCACTTCATTTGAGTTTCAACTTGAAGTACAACTAATGGCTAAAACAATACAGATTTTTTTTCTCATATAATTTGAATTGCAGTACAACTACTATACCAATATCACCCTTTACATAAAATACAAAATGAATGTAAAGTGTACAGAATCACCCTTGATGTTGTATACTACACGTATTTTTAGTATAGTTTAGTGTTGTGCAAACAAGACCACAATATAACCTTCACATGTCTTCATGCCCCAAAACTCAGTGCCCCCCACCCCCCCATCCTCCCCTCAGCTTCTGGCAGCCAGGCCATAACAACAGTGAAACTTAAGAAGGGAAACCTGCAGCGTTTGGAACCTTCGTACATGGGGCTGGGGAAGTGAGCACACTGAGTTAATGCCCATTCATGGAAACCAGTCTAGAGTTGTTTGTCTCAACCTCCCTGATGACAAGACCCTTCAGTACAGTTCCTCATGCTGTGGTGACCCCCAATCATAGAATTATTCTTGTTGCTACTTCATAACTGTAATTTTGCTACTGTTATGAATCAATGTAAATATCTGTTTTCTGATGGTCTTAGGCACCCCTGTGAAAGGGTCGTTAGCCCCTCACAGGTAGCAAACTGCTATTCTAGAGCAACTGAAAAGCTATTCTGGGGACTCAAGAGATGGCTCAGGGGTTAAGAGCACTGGCTGCTCTTCCAGAGGACCTGGGTTCAATTCCCAGCAACCACATGGTGGCTCATAATCATCTGTCATCTATAATAGGATCTGATGCCATATTCTGGCATGTAGTCTCTGTATGCAGATAGGGTACTGATATACATTAAAGAAATAAATCTATAATAAAATAAAACCAAAAACCCAGCCTGGAAAAAAAAAGAAAAGCTATTTTGGTGTGATTTAAATTATATATATACATACATTTTTAACTTATTGTTGTCTATGTATATGCAGTTATTAATAAAGAAAATGTCATCACCATCAACTTAAATTATTAAGGTCTGGCAAAGCTCAATGTATACAAACCTTTGATTCTAGATACTCAGAAAATTAGTCTGAGAAAGCCCAGGTATGATAGCAGTTTTTCCCCCAGTTTTTTCAAGACAAGATTTCTCTGTGTAGCAGCTCTGGCTGTCCTGGAACCTGTTTTATAGTGCAGGCTGGGCTTGAATTTAAGATAGCCACCTGCCTCTGCCTCCTCAGTGCTGGGATTAAAGGCATGTGCCACCATGGCTGGCTCAAATCATTGAATAATTTTAATACCAGCAGCATTCAGGAGGTAGAGGCAAGATCAAAAGTTCAAGGCTAGTTTCAGGTAGACATGGAGTTTGAGGATATTCTGAACTACTGTAGTGCATGAGACACTCTAAAAAAAGTAGCACGAGAATCCAATGTTTCTAGAGGATCATGCTTCTTGTTCTAGGTAAGAACTTCAGACAGGAAAATGAACCGGCAGAATGAGCTTCACAAAAGCCTTGGTGTGGGTGGAGACTCTTGGTGGAATATGGTGTTCATATGGAGACTCTTGCTGGACTATGGCATTCATAGACACTCTAAAACTCCTGCCCCTTTTTTCCCCACAGGGGAATTCTCAAGTAGTAAAAGCTGAAAGCTTAAGAAATAGCAAAGTAGTTGGGCAGTAGTGGCACACCTTTAATCCCAGCACTCAGGAAAACAGAGACCAGGTGAGTCTCTATGAGTTCGAGGCCAGCCTGGTCTACAGAGCAAGTTCCAGGACTGCCAGGGCGGTTACACAGAGGCAAGGACCCTTAGCATCCATCTTGTGGTCATGAGGCCCGGTCTCCTGTGGGGACTTGCAAACCTCTCTGGGCTGTTTGCTTCCCTCCAGTTGATACTCAGCATTCTCAGCTTTCTGTTCCCTGGAGGCAGGACATTTCAGGAAGAGGAATGAGCATGACTTCCCAGGGCTGCATTCGTCCACGTGGCCATGTGACACTGACCTGGCCTGTCCCCAGGCTGGGTGTCAGCTGATGCTGCGTTTGACTCAATGCCAGCAGACTCTTGGTTTCCTGCTGCCAGAGTTTAACCTCAAGTTACCCTTAGAAAGGGCAGGCAGGTTACTGGGGTACACAACTGGATTACACAACTTGTGTAATCTCTAATTTTTTTTTCTCTGAATTTCAATCCTTTCTGTAATCCCAGCAAAGGCAGTCAGATTTCTGGGACTTCCAAGGCCAGCTAAGGCTACATAGTGAGACTCTCTCTCAAATACACAAGTTCAAGACAGAGGCTGTGGCTGTGCCTCATTTGAGGAATGCTTGTCCAACATGTGGAGATCCCTGGGTTCCATCCCTAGCACTGTGTGTGTGTGTGTGCCGGAAATGGGCATTATGACTACCACAGCCAAAAAGCACCCAGACATTATAGCCAGATCCACTTTTATTAGGAACAAATAGTCTCAATTAGTACAATTAGACTCAAGAGTTTATATTAATGGAAGTCATCTAAAATTATGCTTGGGTCACAAATAACTATCCACCATAAAAAGGAGGAAATCTTACTCAGGGAAGGGTTTCCTGCACTGTGTTCATGGCAGTGAGTAGGCATTCTCTCTGACTGGTCATATCCCACTTCCCCTGTGAGGTCTGTCAGTCTCGGGGGAGAGCAACGTAAACTAAAGATGGTATCTAGAACATATGGATGTGTGTGTGAGCTCAGGGTATACTTCTTTGGAAGTCTGTATGAGAATCTCTGCCAAGGACCCCCAAATACTTAATAAAAAAGCTCTAGTCACCTCAAAACTGCCCTTTGAGGTAGGTGAGTATTAGTAGCCCCTTTTATCAGAAGGACTTGCTCAGAGTGATAGTTTCAGCGTGTCCTCCAGAGTGGATGTGCTGGACACATCACGGTATTTGGGAAGTGAGACCATCAGGTACTTAGCAGAGGAGGGTTGGAAGACATTATCTCTGGAATGGGTTTGTTATAAAGTAGGAAGTCAGTGGCTAAGAGAAGCCTTGGCTTAAGCTCCCAGCAGGAGGCTGCTTTACTTTGCTACCCTTTCATACCAACTCACCTGAGCTACACTCTCAGAGAATACATCCATAGACTAGCAACCCAAGGAGAAAACGCCGAGTGCCACGGCCATTATCACATTTAACAACAGTAGTAACGAGGATGCCAATACAACCAAATACTCTCAAATGACTTCCACTTCACATCAAATTTGGGCGTCTACGAAAAATGGCTCCAGGAAAAGTTTTCCAAAATGAAGCCTGTAAAAGATTTCTTCAGTAGCTCAGTGATGGTCTTCCGGCCAGCCTCTTGTTCACACCACTCCATCTTCAGGGTCTCAGGACAAGGGGTGGGGGTGAGGCTGGGCTCACATGCACTAAAGATTAGGAAAGGTAAGGCAGCCAAAGCTGTTAGCACGTTATGTAGGAACTGTTAGAAACCCACCTTTGAGGGGATCTGAAATACGGTCCCTTTCCTAAACATTCTATTACATCCTACCTAAACACCCACAGGCACTGGGACCTCAGCCTGAGGTCTCTACGTAGCCTTGTGTTGTGACATGACCTGAATCAGATCCATGGAATGAGATTAGAACAGAAAGAAGCCTGATTTCTGTTGTTCATGTTATAAATCAGGGATCTGATGACCTGGCAAAAAAAAACCACCCAAACGCATTTCCAAAGGGTTAGGCGAGCAGATCTACAGCAATCTTCTACCAGAGTTTCTACTTCAACAGACAGCTCAAAGCATGTGTCCAATTAACAAGAAAGGCTCTGATCCAATCCCAAGTGAACAAAGCATTTGGTACTATACACAGCCAGTCCTAACAGCAAAGCCAGGCTTCTGGATCAGGCGACAGGGACGGGAGAGGTGGATGGTTCCAAAATACTGAGGTTTTCTTCCAGACTTTTCTGTACCATTGTCTGCCCTGGGCTGTGTGACAGGGGATGTTTGTTAACTCACGGCACCTTTGCTACCACATTTCGGTTGAGGTTTTACATCACACCCTGGTTTCAGGAAACAGGACCTCTTCCTGAAGTGAGGAAGTTGCCCATGCTTCTGGTGTTTTTACAGGGATAAAAATGGGGAACCTTATCCTTTCACAAGCTTTGTACCACCACCTGCCTACACCGATCAGCCAGAGCCACCTTGCAGAGCATGTAGGGAGAAGCAAATATGTCGCCTCCTCTGACTTACACAGAGAGACCAACAATCAACCATCTCGTTCAGCAGTTGCCTCATCGAGACAACATGAGCGTTTGGCTGAAAGGTTAACTCACAAGCCAGAGGGCCTACCAAGCTTTTCTGAAATCACGGTGGCAGAGGCACATAGGGGTAGAGGTAGAGAGATCCGGGGGCCACAGAAAAGTGGCACCTGGTTCTGCTTGCCAAAGCGACATAGCAGTTCCGTGCCCACGAGCAGTGCGGCCGTGGAGAGGAATGTGCCTAGGCAGCGAGTCCTGAGTGCTCTGAATACGCTCAGGAAACTGGCTGCCTGTCCAGGGAAAGAAGAAAATGCCAAAGAACAGAGAACTGGTAATAGCCTCCCAGGCTGCATGGCCACAGAGCAAAGAATGTAGGGAAGGTTCAACACCACGAGAAGCTCATCTCTACTCAATCCAAGGATAAAATGAGAGTATTAGCTGGAACTAACACACCCAGATCCCTGGCAGTGTTCCCCAAGTGCTGCCTACACATGCTGACCCTCAGCCTCTCCACTGCCTGTCCAACCATGAAAGAAACCAGCAACCCAGACAACTCCTCTGTCCTTCAATTTTTCCAAGTGAAATATTTATGTTCCAAGTGAAGGTTTTGTTTATATCTACATAGTTTTCTACCATATCCTCAACACTCTGTCAGCTATTTAATCAGTTCTAGACCCACTTCACGTGAAGACTTTTTCTATGAAGAAATATTTACGTTGCTAAGAGCTAGCGCTCCCCCTCAGCACAGACCAGGCATCGTTCCCCTTCACTCTCAGACCCTGATTTCATTATTGCAGTCTCCCTAAGCTCTGTGGTTCAGAGTATGGACTGAAAGGAGACACGCTGTAGAGAGGCCTGGTGTCTTTGCTGAGTAGGCCACTAGATGTGGTTACGTTTCCTTTCTCTCTCCCAGCCTTACTTATGAACCACGCCATGTATGCTAACTCTTGTCTCCAGATGATAGACTTGCTACGTATGAAATCAAGAACAGTTTCCCATCCTATTTAGCAAAGGCTGTAATGAAGTTCATCAGCAGGTAGGGGACTTCCAGGCAGGTTTTGTTACGTTTCTAGTGTGAGGCAGCAACCTTGAAGCTCAGAACAAGGAAATAGATATCTAGGAGGAAGGAAGGAGCGCAGTATTTCAGATACCAGGACAGTTGTCCAGGCTTTGGAAGGTGGACACAGACCAGTGGCTGGCCAGCTGTTTGCCTGGGAGGTGGTGAGAAAGAAAAGAAACCAAGCCAAATGCAATGCAAACAGGGAATGAACACCCTGCTCCTCACCTCAGCATCAAATCAGCATGTCTGCTGGCTTTTAATACTCTTTGCACAGAATGCTCAAATATATTGTTATTATTTAAAATGGATGCGTCAAGTTATATATGCATTTATTGTGTATATGTTTAGAAGTATACATACTGTGGCATGGTTAATCCTAGCTAATTAAAATGTGTATTACCTCAAAACGTGATCAAAGCTTTCTCATCTTAAAGAATACTGTACTGGAATGGGTTAAATACGTCATTAGCATTCTGGTAGCATTATCCTGTAGTTAATCAACAGAATATTATATCTCTGCCCATATCACTCTTGGAACGGGAACTCAGGAGCCCCAACCTCAGCTACTCTTGTGGCTCCCATCTCCAGTTCTTTTGATCCTGGCCAAGACAGCAGCCTTGGACACTTTCTTCCGGTCATAAGCCAGGCCCAGGGCAGCCATGCAGTCGATGAAGAACGTGGTGAAGTTGATGTGCCAGCGGTACTCACTAACAGAGTAGTCATAGGGGAAGGCGTGGTGGTAGTTGTGGAAGCCCTCGCCTGGAACAGAAGTGTGGAGAGCAGTTAGGGGGCTCGGTGATGGCTGCTTCCTGCTCTTTGCAGACCTCTTAACCTGTTGTACACCTCGAACCTTGAAGAATCCCACTGTTGAGTGAACAGATGAACCCATAGTCTTGTATTCTAAAGTGAACAGGTGCCCTCAGAGGCATCTCAGGAAAGCAGCTGACAGGCTCTGCTCACACATGCCTCTCTACAGCCTTTGTCAGAGCAGGTTTCTATCATAAGATAAGGAGTCAAGAGAGAAGCTGGGTCTGTGGGAACAGATTTTACAGTGCGAAGAAGTACCAGAGCATCAAGAAAGAGATCCAGGCCCAAGAACTTACAGGGTCTGTGCATAAGTGCCTGTTTAGGAGGGAGAACGAGGAGGCTAAGGGGACTCTCGGGCATAGTCCTCCAAAGCTAAGTAGACAGCACACTTCCCACAGTGTCGATCTCTGTAAGAACAGGGTGTGTTCTAACAGGAGGGGCAGCTGCTGCCAAAAGGAAAAAAAAAAAAACAAAAGAAAGCCTAGCCAGTGACAAGAGACCCCCTCCACCCATCCCCTCACCCCCAGACTGCGGGCTCACAGTGGGCTGCTGTCTGAGTCAGGGAAGTGCTGAGAAAACAAACACTTTGATAAAAGATTCTGACCGTTCCTGAGAATAACATTTTGATAGAAGGAAAAAAAAATTTTTTTGGACTCAGGAGGGCTTCTGCAGAGGCTGATGTGTTTACCTGCTCTTGGCAGAACTCTTCCTTCTCAACGGATTCCGAAAATACAGAACCCAGAAGACCCAAACACCCTCTTCTGGCCACATCAGGCACTGCATGCAGGTGGTGCACAGCCACACAGGCAGGCAAACCACCCCCACACAGGAAATAAAAATACAATTTCAAGAAAAAAAAATTTTTTTTTTTAAAGATTGCTAGTTTTACATACTTTCGTAAGGAAGTTCCGAGTGCATACTTCCCAGGCATCCGTGTCTTGACATTTAACATGAAATCCCACAGTGACAAGGGAGGAAAAAGAGATGAACAGGTAGCAACCAGAGCGGCAAGAGATAGCCCGGAAATGCTCCAGGGACTGATCGGAGAACACAAGCATGTGACCTGAGGGAAGTAATTCAAGGAGAGATGCGAGTGATAGGAAGCTGCTGGTGGAGAGCGGGGTAAGATGAGAAGGGGCTAGGAGCATGAATAGCAGCCGGACAAAGGGAGATGTTGGCAGCCATTTGGAACTGAGGGTCACAAGGAAGGCTCGCTGTCAGAGCACAGGACACACCCGACTCAGTTCAGATTCTCCTTTTCTATGGAAACATCAGATTTGGATAGAATAGGGTTCATTTCAAAATCGGGAGCTGCATACAAAATTCTAAGGTGCCTAAGGAGGGTGGAGACACATAGAACCCAAAAAGAGACAGGGAGAAAAGCTTTGAATCAAGTTAAAGGTACTAGGGAGTGATAGGCACGGATCTGTGAGCAAAGCGGTCTCTGGCTGTCAACAGATGAGCAACGACTCTGCCCACTGACGAGAGGAGGAGGGCACTGGCTCCTCACAGGGAAAACTAACTTCCGGCTTCAGTCCCTGGGAAAGCAGGGCAAGGGAGACAAAGAGCCGCTCTCTCTGATCTGCAGAGAGGAATGCACTCAGGAAGAGCCAACATCAACCAGATCATGCACAAGGAACTTCTTCCAAAACCCCACTCCTCCAGGGACACTGAGGAGTCCTCAGTACGGAACAGCCAGGAGAAAAAGAACAAGGGGGGGGGGCAGTGGTGGGAAGAGGAGACAGGAGAGAGTGCCGTGCATCACCACACGACAGTGCAGGGTCCGCGGTGGCGAGGGAAATACAAGTGTGGCAACCTGAAGATTACTGAACTACGTCACAATTCTCCTACCCTGTACACCGCAAGGTCACACATGCACTGCTAGGCAATGGGCTATCCTGGTGACTGTGGCAGTCTTTATGCACATCCTGGGCTACCAAGAGCCACAGACCTGCCTGGGGACTAGAAGAGGGAAACTCAGAGGCTCCTTTAGGCAGCACTTAGAAATTGTTTTACAACCTCTAAGTAAAAGCAGAGTTACTTTTACATAAGAGTTGCCGCTGGCCCGACTCTCACACGGGTTTCCCGGTACGCTCCTCCCCAACCCCCAGTTTTATAGTGGAAACGCCGAACGACACAGTACCCATAAAACAGGTCATTCTGGTTCCCCTGGCTCCTAGACAAATACCCCAAGCAGCAGGCCCCTCGATATGGTCATGCTGAGGATTAGTGACTTACCCACGGCACCCAGGGAAACCAGGATGTTCTCTCGAGATTCAATGTTCTTGTCGTAGGGGCGATATCCATAGAGGTGAGCAGCACTGTTCACCAGCCAGGTGGCATTGAGCACCACAGCGTATCGCAATAAGGTGCTGACGCACAAGCTGTTCACGAAAGTTTCACCCCAGTAATACCAGGGCACCAGTGTGGGCAGGATGAAGCACAGGAGCAGGAGGCTGGGCTTGTAGTACCTACGTGGAGAGTCACACACTGAGTGGAGGGAGAAGACTCTCACACCTACACAAACCGTCCTTTCTAATTAGGCAGGGTTGTGTCATTTTTTATGCCCGAGGATGGGGTAGATTAACAGCAAGAGGAGGAGGCATAAAGTCTTGAGCACAGGGTTATCTGCTTTTTTTTTTTTTTTAGATTAAGGATCCAGGGAGATGCCAATATTCAAGGACCATCTTCCTGGGTATAGTATGTCTCCTATCATATCTTTTCCTGACTACAAATCCATGACTTTTTTCACAGGAGCATAAGGTCATGCTGGTCAGACTGATCAGAGTCCATCACGACCTCACCAGCCATTTCCATTGCCAGGCTGTGGTCATCAGCCTCCCAGATCCTTTTTCTGGCCTGTTGTGGCCTTTGGCAGCTTACGGCAAGTGCCGGGCATTCATTCATTCCCTGCTATCACCCTGTAGATCTTTGCTCTGCTTTCCCTCCAGGGCCACATCACCCTTGGCCATCTGCAGGTCCCTGTCCCTCTGGAGGCCCTGTCCCTCCCATTCTCCATTCCCTACAAAGCAGGCCACCGGCATGCAGGCGGACAGACAGCCCTCCGCCGCTGCGTCTGGTACTTCTGCCTCACTGACATTGCCTCCGCCTAGTTTCGTTCCACTGTGGCCACTGCTTCCTTGGCTCAAGACCTCCTTGCTGTCTAACCTGTGACCCTGCCCATCACCTCCCTGGATCCACGATTATCTTCACCCGTCTTGAAAGTGGCTTCTCCAAAGCCCACCTGACTGTGCCCCACGCTGCCAGAGAATGCTTGAGTTGTTACCCCAAACCGGCTGAATTAATATTCCTTCTGCACCTGTCCTTGTCCCGTTCCGGTCAGATGCTACATTTCACAGAGAAGGAGCATGCTTCACATTCTGCTGTACTGACCCTTCCCACCACTGACAGAGCCTCTGTCTTTGGCCGGATGCTGATGCTAAGGGGCCCCTCCACTCTATATCCACTGAGGTGTATTTCCTCCCTGTACTTAGTCACGGTAAACACAGTATTGTTCTGCCTTATGTGCTGATGATTGAGGCTCATTCCTTCAACTCCAAATAGGCTGAAAATTCCTTGAAGGTAAACACTCAGCTGTGTGTACCAGCTAGGACTGATGTTATAGTTCTTGGTTTATTAAGATGGGTTGGGAAGAAGCAGAGATTATGGCTGTGAGTCTGTTGAATGCTGAATTGGAGATTCATTTTTTTTTTTTTTCCAGAGCTGAGGATTGAACCCAGGGCCTTGGGCTTGCTAGGCAAGCGCTCTACCACTGAGCTAAATCCCCAACCCTGAGATTAAATGATTTTAAATTCAACATTCCAGTCAATCACCCAGTTATTATTTTATAAACCCTAAGAGGAAAGGTGGAATCCCCAAGTTCCACGTCCTTCCAGCTCCATCCCTACCCCCCACCTCACTCACCTCCTCTGGAACATGACCAGCTTCTCAGCTTTGAGGTCAGACATGTCCAGTTTTCCACCTTTCTCTTTGACAGCCGGGTGTTTGCGCACAAGCAGCCAGCCAATGTGAGAGAAGAAAAAGCCACGCCGGGAATTGTGAGGGTCGGCGTGTGTTTCTGTGAACTTGTGGTGGACACGGTGATCTCGGGCCCATTCATACACATCATTCTGGAGGGACAGGAAAGAGGACCCCAGTACTGAGAAGAGATGCCCTCCTGGGGGAATCCAGTGCTCAGATATCTTCAAGGGCCCAGGACTCTCAGTCCAACTCACAAAGCCCATAAGACTCTAGCTCCAAAGGAGGCCTTGGGGGGGGGGGGTGTTCTTTTGTACACTTGTCCCTGAAGCTTATTTGGCAAGTCCCCAGAGCACACTGAAGGTTGTGCGTGGGGGAGAAGGAAAGCCAAGCACAGCGCTCACAAAGAACACTGCAGCTCTTGAAGAAAGGAATGTGGGGACGTGGGGGCCGAGATCCGGAGGCAGGTGGCCTTGGATCCCAGGGAGTCACTCTGGGGAAAGATGCAGGGAACGTCACCCTGATGCTTTCACAAGTGACAACCCACCTAACCTAGTTAGAAGCCAGTGTGTAACTAATGAGCGTGAGCGCATTTCCCCAGGACCTCTAAGTTTTGTCTCGGACACGTGGGAAACCCTTCACACAATCCCCTGTTTTTCTCTTGTTAAGCCCCACACTGTAAGTCACCCAGTGCCCACTGTTTCTCCCCCAACCCTCCTCATCTGCTATAAACCAACTTCAGAACCTGGTCTAGCCAACCCAGCAGCCTCAGCTAGAACTAGGTTGGTCAGTTCAACCTTCCAGACTCAGTTCCTCAACTGCAAAGTGCAATAATTGGCTTGGAGTGGTAGCACACACCTTTAATCCCAGTACGGAGGGGGGGAAGGCAGAGACCAGCCTGGTCTACATAGTGAATTCCAGGCCAGCCATTGCTACACAGTGAGATCCTATCTCAAAAACAAAAACCAGTGTTATAAAAATAATATCCACCAATATGCCCGTGAGGGCTTCATGGCTTAACTAATGCCAAGTGCTCAGTAATGCCTGGCACACAGACTATGCAGCATGGCCCTTCAGGCAGACAGCCCACAGCAAATAGACGGTGTAATACCACAGTGGCCCTGAAATCAAAAGTGACCCAACCTGGACTGCCTTTCCCCTTTGCCTCTCACTTATCTTCCCAATACCCGAAGCACCGAACCTGTAAGGCCTGAAAACCAAAAAGGGCAATCATCGATGGTGGTCCTAATAATTCTTCTCTAGATGCTGACCCCCACTGCCCACCCAGATCACCCGTGGGGTAGAGACGCAGTAACAGCACAGCTTCTCACCTGGAAAGCCATGGTGTTGGCAATGATGAGGAAGAGCCGCAGCGGCAGGCGCGCCTTGTAAGTTCGGTGGCTCCACAGGCGATGCGCCCCGGCCGTGATGCCCAAGGCACTAATGACATAGTATATAAATCCTGTAAGACAAGACAGTGAGGGAGTCACCAACAGGCAAATTTCAGCAGTAGAAGAAGACAAGGAGGCTTCCCTGATGCCAGTGTTTGTCTTTGGGTTTGGGCTAAGGACCTGTTTTCCACTGGACCCTAAGAACCCCTTGGTCTCTGATGCCTAGGTAGCTTTTGCCCCTTAAATGGGCAGCACTGAAAAACTCTTCCAGCAGAGCTCAGGACCACGAGCAGGAGTGTTAGGAACACTGAACAGTTACCGAATCCCCAAGTTGTAGGGGACATTCAAGTGACCCAGCTGATACAGTCACATTTGAATGAGAAGGAATGTGGCCACATAAGACAGCCCTGAAAAGTCATGTTTGCAGTATCCTAAGCTTTGCCAGCGACAAGATTTTCATATTCCCTACACACTTTGAACAGAGTGAGTGTCATGAATACTGTACTTTATCTGGGTGTGGTGGTGCATGCCTTTAAACCCAGCACTCCAGTAGATCCCCAAGTTCAAGGCCAGCCTGGTCTACAGATTCCAGAACACCCAAGGCTACACAGAGAAACCCTGTCTCAAAAACAAACAAAACAAAAACCCACAAAGCCCCTATACTTAAAGGAAATAAGATCCCAAGAGAGGTTAGGTATAAGCAGGGTCATCCAACCAGTAAAAACAGGAGCCCGACATCAGAACATTTTCCTGCTTCATCATCTTGTAGGCCTGCAGGCTTAGAAGGTACTAAATTTGATCTCCAACAGGGAAAGAGATACTATATGTACCCAGCTCTTCTCTGGCCAGCGCTAGAATGCTGGGGCAGAGTCCTTGGTAGATACTGTCCTAGGGAGCAGCAGCAATGGATCCTCAGAGGCCACTGACCTTAGTTGCAGTGGAGACAGACTACACACTGTACAAACTGTCCCATGTCCTTCTGTAGCAGAGATAGCAATTTCCTAAGCAGCTTCCTGCACACCCCATTTTCCTCTTACAAAATACTTGCAAGCCATAGAGTCTGTCCAAGGTAAAGCTCTAGCCACATTCTCTCAGAGCTGGGGATTGGAGCACCAGATGCTTGCTACTCATGGTCGGTCATGTGGCAATCTGACTGCCCTGTGTACAGATCTGACCACACTGTAGCAGAGCGTCCTGGAGAACCATCGCTGGCAGTCATCAGGAGGAGAGAAAAGGTGTGTGGCAACAAAGAAGCCCTCAAGGAAGCATCCATGCTGGCTTTATGTGATAGATGGCCCAGGCAGTCTAGACCACGTATGACACCATCTAAACAAGGGAATTGGGACAAGAACCCAGGCACTCTGAAACATTCTACCCAAACTTCTCAATGCGTCCAGGGAAATGGCTTAAGGCACTTAGAACCCCTCACCATGCCCCATGGGACTACTGTGTCCACCCAGTGGTAAATGGACAGCTTAAGAGTTGTCTTAAACTGGGTGTTGGTGGTGCACGCCTTTAATCCCAGCACTTGGGAGGCAGAGCCAGGCAGATCTCTGTGAGTTCGAGGCCAGCCTGGTCTACAAAGCGAGATCCAGGACAGGCACCAAAACTACAGAAAAACCCTGTCTCGAAAAAACAAAAACAGAAACAAAAAAAGAAAAGAAAAGAAAAGTTGTCTTAAGAGGGTTGAAGTCCCGGCAGTGGTGGCACTTGCCTTTAGCAACTCGGGAGGCAGAGACAGGCGGATCTCTGAGTTTGAGGCCAGCCTGGTCTACAGAGCCAGTTCCAGGACAGCCAGGGCCTCGGTCTTGTGGGGGTTGGGCTGGAGCTAGATTGGTGGTGCACGCCTTTAATCCCAGCACTTGGGAGGCAGAGGCAGGTGGATCTCTGTGAGTTCAAGGCCCAAGGCCAGCCAGGGCTATAGCTAAGCCCTGACTCCCCTACCCCCCAAAATGGAAATGTGTGTGCGTGGGGTGGGGGGGTGGGAGAAGCAGACTCTTCGGCTCTGAGTGTTAGCAGAGATCTCTTCAGAACTGGTCCTCTTGCAGAGTTTGTGAAGAGAATAAGGAGGCTCTGGAAACCCCCGCCTCAAGAGAAAGGCTGGCAGGCGGCACAGCTAACACCCTGAACGTGACCTTCCCAGTCCTGGCAAGGCATTGCTGCCCTACTTGGTACTTGGAAAAACTGAAAGCAGATCCTCTCGGATGTAGGGCATCTGGAAGAGGTCTAAGATGAAGTGCCCAAGACCAGATCTAAGTGCTCAGAGGACCTAAGGGGCTAGGGCAGGGCCTTTCACACCCTTACCCTCTGCGTGAGCTGCCACAAAGTACCCACACCTGACACGCTCCAGAGAAACCTCCCGTGTCTCAGAGAGGGACCCCTGCCTCACTGTCTCAGCAGTCGGCCCCGCTCCCCTTCCTGAGGTTTCATAGATGAAAACACACGTAATGTACACAGGTATCCTAGAGGTGGCTTTGCCATCTGCCTACACCCAGTGAATCCCTGAGGGGCTAATTTAGGCCTGACGCTGATGGAGGGTCTATTCTCTGCCATGGAGGGGTCAATAGGGCTGGAGGACTGGCATTTTGGGTCCTTGGCATTTATGGTCTCAGGGGACAGAGCAGGAGCAGGCTCGATGAGGGAGTGGAGTGATTGTGGACCTTACTCCATTCTTTCGATATCTTGTTGATTGGCACGTGCTGCTCCCTGGGGAATGACCTGGAGCAGCTGAGCCACACACCTGTACACTTGGGTGTTGTAGAAACCTACAGCTCCGTCCTCTAGGGCAAACCAGCTTGTTCTGGTCAGGGGTTGAGGTCAGAAGAGTTGTGTAAATACCTCCTTTAGTCTTTTTTCTTTTCAAGGACCTCTCCAGCACAGAGGCTCTGTTCCCTGCTCTGGCGGACCAGTGGCCCACAAGGCCCCAGGTCTAGCCCTGAATGCTATGCCTCCCAGGTAGGGCCCGTTTCTCCGGAGTCAGATGGAGCTGGGATAAGCAGCCAAACAAGGGACTCACACAGAAAATCTTGTTCAGAGAAAGTTGCTTCTCTGCCTCAGGTAGACCTTTCCAAGCCCCCTGCACGGGGACCCCAGAATTCATGTTAAGGGACGCCCAGTCCCACAAGGCTCTGCTCCCAGGAACCCAGAGAAAAGGCCAGAAAATCTGGACAGAGGGGCCACTTCCTTGGGTCAGAGGCTACCTCATTAAATAGCAAAGAGAAATCTAAGGTATTGGCCCGGAACAAGGGGAGCTGCTCACCGAAGAGGCAGGTGTAGACCTTGCAGGAGGGAACCAGTGTGATCCCATACAGGGCCCCCAAGTGCAGCAGGGCCATGAGGATGATGTTTCTCCAGACATACTCCAGCTTGGGCGGGGGCCCCTCCTCATCCTCGTAGCTGGGGTCATGTATGTCTTCTTTCATTTCAGGACGGATATCTTCTTCCAGGTACAGAGGCATCGTCTTCTGCTTCTCTCGTCCATTCTGCGGGCTTCCGGGGGGAGGCGCTGTGATGGTGGTGGTGGTCGCATAGGAGCTGGAGATCTGCCAGGAAAAGTGCAGTCAGGGGGGCAGATCTGTGGAGGACTGCGGGGGTCGCTACCACGTTCCTCACACTAGCGCAGCAAAAGGCACAGCAAAGGCACAGACCCTGCTCCAGAGCTCAGGTTGCATGAGGGCGAGATGTACTCTGAGATAGAGCAAAAGTTTCCAGAAACTGTACAGATTTGCTGCGGGGAGGGGGGGGGGCAAAACCTCAAGGTGAAGGGCCAGTAGGAAATAAGAGTGGACCATTCGCACCCCCAGTAACACACAAAGGGAACCCCGTGTGAATATGCAAGTATCGGCACGACTGGCTTTTCTTGGCTTTACAGCTTAAGACACGAAAAGTTGAGACTCAACTGCCCAAACTACAATCCACACCTCTCAAACGACTGGTCGCACTAGAATTTGAGAAAGCCAAATAGTCCGAGGAACTCTCAACTCTCTCTCCTCCGCGGACCCAGTCACCTAGACGCCCGGTCCGCGTGGCCGACGCGCGGGGCGGGGGCTGCTTCTGCGAGCTCACCTCTTGGAGCATGTGGGCAGGCATCGTGGCTGTCGGCGGCCGGCTTCACTTTCCCAGCGCCGAGACCGAGCGTGGACGTCGGTTCCGGAACCCGCTGGTGCCAGCGATTGGCCGAACTGCGCTCGGAAACCTCCGCTGCTGTCCGGCGGGATGGGTGTTCAGCCCGACCTGGCTGTGCGTAGATCTCCCGGGCTGGGAATTTAAAGGGTAGAGCAGGCGATGGGATGACCGTGTTTAGTATTTCCTCAGACCCCTTTTATCCGCTGCCAGCAAGGGCCAAAGTGCGCAGAGCTAGCTAGCCAAGGAAGCCAAGCGAGGAGGTGAGAGAGGGAGGGACTAAGGAGGGGGAAAGAAAGCCAAGTAGATTCCGGAGCAAACCTCCGAGGCGCCGAGATGCTAAAGGCATCCACACCGCGCTGCTCCAACCCCCTGCCTCGGGGCAAATGCTAATGCGCCTCCTGCGAAGACTGTCTCGTCATTGGCCAAAGAGAATTTGGTGCCACCTCGTCCAGCCTTTTCCATTGGCTCGGCGCAATCTGCTGTTCCTTCTGCCACTAGCTCCTCGCTCTCCCCTCCCCTTTTTTTCTCCTTATCCTCTTTGCGGTGGGCTGATGGGTGACTTTCCTTTAAGAGGAGGATAACTTAGTCCTCTGTAGGGGTTGTGTACATGCCTAGAACTGTCTCCTGGCGCTAAGCGAATGGGTCACTGAGGAAACTGCCATGGGAGAAGTGAGGAACTCCTGGTGGCTACCGCCACTCACAAGTCGGCCCAACTTCTCCGTCCACCCCCACTTCCACACTCGTGCAAAGAGGAAACTGGCCTCCACCCGGGAGACGACTGGGGCGGGGGAGTGCGATCCGCCCCTGGATGTCTAGCGCCCAGGGCTCTGACGCCGGGAAACAATGGTCTATCCCGCCCGCCAGCACCGGGATGCTAACTTCAGACAGCTGCGATCTTGGGTGCTGGGAGCTCACACGCAGAGATACAGCACTGCGCTCACTCATTGGTCGTTCTCTTCAGGGGACCGCCTCTGCCGGGAGCCGGAGCCCAATCCTAGTCCCACCTACGGGAGCGGGACGCTTGAGAGAGATTCTTTGATCCTCGGGTTGGAATTGGGGGAATCTTCCAGGGAAATGGACTAACGAGGTGTATTCACACAGATATATTCACTCTGCAACAAGTCAGAGTTTGCATGTGCAGTAAGAACAGCAAACAGGTATTCAGCGAGTCCCTAACTAAGCACAAGAATCATGTTGAACCCACACTGTGACCCTGAGCAGCGGGTACCCCTTGGTGATGATGACTGTTTTTTTTAAAAGTCAGGATCTCTGTAGCTCTGGACAGACAGTAGCTCTGACTGTCTGTCCAGAGCTCACTAAGTAGACCAAGCTGGCCTCCAGCTCACAGAGATCTGCCTGTGTCTGCCCTTGAATGCTGGGATTAAAGGCGTGTGCCACGACCACACCCAGCCCCTTGGTCTTTTAAAAGAGGAAGTGAGACAGAGATGAAGTTACCGGTGACCATGCTTAGCAAGTTTGTGGTGGAGCTAGGAACTGAGTGGAGAATGCTCGGGTGCCTCAACAAACTGTCTTAAAAGTCAGGCTCCACCTGCCGTGGGGTCGCCCGCCTTTAGGCCAGCACTCAAGGGCAGAGGCAGGCGGATCTCTGAGTTCTAGGCAGCCTTGTTTTTTGTTTTTCCTTTTCCAGACATGGCTTCTCTATGTAGCTCACTGCCTTGGAATTCTGTTTGTAGTCTAGACTGGCCTCAAATTCAGAGATTCACCTGCCTCTGCCTTCTGAGTGCTGGGTTTACAGACATACACCACCAAGCCTAGTTTATATAGTGAGTAGCAGGCCAGGCAGGGTCACGTAGACCTGCCTGACAACAGCAGTCAGGGTCCCCTGGGAATTGTCCCCACCCCATCACCTAGGTCTGGGCATATTACCTGAACCAAACTGCAACGATATTGCCAGAAAAGGCAGGGGCAGGCCCACCAAGACAACGCGCAGTATAGGAGCCCGATATCTCTCTCCAAAAACAGGCTGCCATGCTGGAGAGGAAGTTTTGGGAGCTTGGGAAAAGACAGGTGAGGGAGAGCTGATTTCATGTTGATGAAGCCAGTGGGGACTGACTTACCCCTTGCGCTAATGATAATATGCCTGTAACTGTTGACATCCCCTACAAATCTCAGGAGCTTCCAATTGAGCACAAAATAAGATTGCACGAGAGGAAAAATACCGTGGGAAAACACAAGAGCTGGTATCAGGAATTACAGGTCAGTGATGTTAGAATGTACAAATAGATGGGATTTATTTATAGTATATATATATATATATATATATATATATTTTTTTTTTTAAAGATTTATTTATTATGTATACAGTATTCTGCCTGCACATATCCCTGCAGGCCAGAAGAGGGCGCCAGATCTCATTACAGATGGTTGTGAGCCACCATGTGGTTGCTGGGAATTGAACTCAGGACCTTTGGAAGAACAAGCAGTGCTCTTAACCTCTGAACCATCTCTCCAGCCCCCTAGTATATATTTTAAAGGTTTACTTTTTTATTTTTTGGTTTTTTGAGACAGGGTTTCTCTGTGTAGCTTTGGAGCCTATCCTGGAACTTGCTCTGTAGACCAGGCTGGCCTCGAACTCACAAGAGTTCTGCTCTGCCTCCCGAGTGCTGGGATTAAAGGGTGCACCACCATGCCTGGCCAAGGTTTATTTTTATGTTCAATTATATGTGTCTCTGTGTGGGTTACATGTGTGCCCAGAGGAGTGAGATTCTCTGGAGCTGGAGTTGCAGGTGGTTGTGAGCTGTCCGACATGTGTGCTGGGAACTGAACTCTGATCCTCGGCCAGAGCAATAGGGTCTTTTAACCAGTGAGTCATCATTTCTCCGGCTTCTTTACAATATCACTTACAATCATGGCATATTCCTCTAACCCCAGCACTCAGGAGGCAGAAGCGAATAGATCTCTGAGTTCCAGGCCAGCCAGAGTTACATAGTGAGGCCCTTTCTCTAAATAAATAAAATAAAATAAATCAGCTGTTGGTTGTTGGTGGTGTATGCCTTTAATCCTAGCACAGATCTCTGAGTTCAAAGCCGGCCTGCTCTACAGAGCAAGTTCCAGGGCAAACAAACAAACAACAATATATATTTCATATATATAATTTCATATATGTATATGTAATTCATATGCATATATAAAATTTATATATATACTTTTTTTTATAGATGAGTGGGAGTACAAAATAAGCTTGAAAGAGAGCCAGGCATTAGAACTTTCCTGTAGGTACTATGACGGTTTCGAAATTCCAAGAAATTGAAAGGAGAACAAGAAGAAAAAAAAAAGTCAGGCCCTACTTAGCCATCTTCAGTAAACAAGCAGATAATAACAACAATTCATAGAGAGGGGGCCACTCACTGGGTCCTTCTCAAGTGGTCTGAGTGCATTTATTCAGACAAGACCGGACATACTCCGGGCAGGTCTGGGAAAGCATCCCCTGGGGCTCTGCCATTGCTTTGGGTGCCCGGACCCCACAAAGCACATGGTGACTCGATTGACCCAGAGGGGAATTTTGAAGAGGATGGTGTTGGACATCCATCCCTCATGCACACCCTTGAAAAACTGTCACTACTGTTGAAATGAACTGGACTGGTACATGATCTAGAGCCGAATGGTGTTTCTATTTCACTCACCAGTCCATCCTCCTTTCTTGACATAAAAAAAACCCTGGACGGCCCTCATTGCTGGAAAAGAACTGTCTTCAGCTGATCACATGAGACTATTTCATTCTATTTCTCTAACTAGGAAATTAGTTCCCTTAGAGCAGAGATCACCTCCCCTTGGAGACTCTAGGCATAATAGGCCTCCCAATGGCAGTTGCCAGAGTTGGCATTCTGACTTGGATTATGTATTTGCTTCATCATAAGAGAGCAAACTGTGCCAACAATTATGAAAGGGAAAAATTATCAGTCTCTTTAAAGAGCTTGTATAAGTTGACAAAAAAACTCAAAATGATTAAAAGTGAAGGAACTAAATAGTCACTCATGATACAAGAATTATAATCTACAAATAAAAATATTTGACTTTATTAATTATTTAAAAGTATCAAATGATATAATTTATTATTATTAAAGACCTGACAATATCCAATATTGGGAAAAAAAAAGATGAGTTTTCCATTTTGTTTTATTTTTGCCATGTAGACCAAACTGGCCCTGAACTCACAGAGATCGGCTTGCTGCCTCCTCTCCCTGACCCCCCCCCCCCCAGTGTTTGGATTAAGGGCGTGCACCACCACACCTGTTTGAAGATTTGCTGTTAGTTTTAATTGAGTGAGTTGTGCATGCATGTGTGTGCAAGCTCACCTGTGGAGGTCAGAAGACAACTCATGGGAGTTGATTCTCTCCTTCCACCATATGGGGCTTGAGAATCAAACTCAGGTCATTAGGGTTAGCAGAAAATGCCATTACCACTGAGCATTCTTGCCAGCCCATCAGAGAGATGTTTTATAAGTAATTTTTCTTCATGGTACTGGAGAATCAAATCTAGGGTCTCCTCCCCTATCCTAGGCAAGTGCTCTACCACTGAGCTACATCCCAGCCCATTGAATTGTCACATACACATATGCAATAAACATTTTAGAGCTGTGCAATATATGTGCTATAGCTATGTCAGAAATAGTTTACATTGTCATTTATATTGATTCAGGGCTTGCTTTTCAGTACAAATAATGTTGCATTTGTAAATTAGTTTGTTTCTGCCACCAGCAGCTTTAAAATACTCATCTCAGGCCTAAAGAAGGGCCTCAGTTGACAGAGCATCTGCTTAACATGCACAGAGTACTACACTTAGTACTCAGTACCCACCACCACCTGGACCAGACAGCACGCATGCACGTGTGCGCACACGCAATAAATTTAAATAACAACACTATCTATCCGAGCCAGGCATGGTAGTGCACACCTGCAACTCCAGCACTTGGGAAGTAGAGGCAGGAGGATTAGAAGTTCAAGGTTGACTTCAGCTAGGTGAAGAGTTCGAGGCCAGCCCAGCATACAGAAGACCTTATCTCAAATAAAACAAAACAGTCTCTGGTGACCCTGAAGTGTGTTCACATCGTGACAGAATTCACAAGCAGGAGAGAAACATATATTTTTAGCTAATCTCAACAAAGTTGAACCATGTTGTAGGAAGGAAGGGAAAAATAAGAAGTTGTTCTGAAATGTACCACATTCCAGCCTAACTTTGGGCAATTTCTTCTGTGAACTTTGATTTCCTCAGCTGGAAGACAGAGCCTTCTTGCCAGCTGGAAGATGGAGACTATTCATTAGGAAAGGTTGCTTGAGCTATTTAAAATTGTATTGAGAAAGTTAGAGTTGG